TGAAAACAATCACACAATGCCAAATTAAACTCGATATTTTCAATTTTGAATTTTATTTCTTGACCTTTATATTGCACTGATTTCAGTTATCATTACACCTACCTGTTTTTGTCTGTTCAGGATCCTCATAATTCTGGCAACATATGGAGGATATTCCACTGGGTCTGTTTGAACTTTGGGTGGAACAACAATGCGTTTGACTACCTTCTATAAAATAAAGCGCAAATCACAAATCCACACAATTAATCTTGTAAGAATAAGGATTTATTTTTTATGTTCAGTCTTTTAAATTACCTTGTCACCTTTCTGAGTTACAGAAGTTGGGGCAGAATTCTGACTCTGAGTGTGGTCCATTGTTGCTTCCATTTGTTTCCCCGTGGTCTGCTGCATGTTAGCCAAATGTCTACTCCCTTTAGCCATTGAGGTGTTGGAAGTCAAAAGTGTGCCATCTGCATATTGTCCCTGAGAAACACTTTTCGGAGTCTTTTTCTTTGACTTTTTGTCTTAGTTTTTGTCTGTGCCTCCATTGGTGCCACAAGTGTGGGTACATTCTGTGGGCTAAGACTCCATGATTCCTGATAAAAAAAAGATATTAGTATTAATTTTGGTTGAAATTGTTACGTTACTGACTTTCAGATTAAAAAAAAAAACACACTGAACAAATTAAAAAAAAAACAAATGTAAAAAAAAAACTTACAAGCTGAGCAGCAGAAAACTTCTGGGGATAATCAGGTGATAGTCCAGTTGCTGTCACATTAGGTGTGGGTGTCACCAAAGGTGAGTATGCGCCCTGGTAGTAACAGTTACTACTGACTCCATGAATTGTTTGGGTTGGCAGATGAATGATCTGGTCATACACTCCAGCAACTGATGGGACACTGATGATGTTGGTAGGAACTTGTAGCTCTGTTCCCTTGACCCATTCATCTGACACATTGTATGGGGCATAGCCCTGACCCTCAACATTTATAAATGAACTCTTTAAAAAAAAAAAAGAAAGAAACAACAGTAAATTTTCACCACAGAAATATTTATTGTACACATTAAGCACTGTTTTTTTTGTACTTAATTATATTAAAAACAAAATATTTAGAGTTAGTTGTCAAAAGGCACAGATAAGGTCCAAAAATTAATTTTAGATTCTCAATCCAAAAATTTCTGAGATACTTTTTTAAAGAGTTATCTCTCTTTTACTTGGTTACAAATGATAACATCAACTGAGTTTTACTTTTTAATACTCCTTATCATTTGATACTCAATAAACTTCTATTAATGTTTTTCAAAACATCAATAAAAAAAGGCTTATTGATAAAATATACAATCAAACCTCGTTATATCAAACGCAAAGGAGCCGGGTTTTTGTTGTTGTTTTTTTTTTTATAAAAAAAACTCCGAGATATCTAAAGATTCGAGATATTGAAATTAAAATAATTTAATGAAAATAAGTGGTTGGGACTTCCAAATTACATGTATTTCGACATATCCGTGGTATTCGAGATATTGGTGCTCGAGATACCGAAGTTCAACTGTAGTTATAAAAACAAATTATTGTATACTTACATGTATTAACTAATATTACAAGTATGGGTGAAAAAGGAGAAATCCTTAATTTTCTTTTAAAATAAAAAAAAATCGTTTTATTTCCCTTTCTATCACGTGAATAACATTAATCAATGTGAAAGTATTTGACCTGAAACGGCAGTACCTGAGAAACCAAAGATTTTTTTCACCTATGGAAACTCAAGATGACACTTAATCGATTCCACATTATGTACTTGGGTCATAGAAAATCTTTGTGTTAAATGACCTTTCATTTTCATTGGGAGAACGTTCCTTTATGAACTTAAATACTTTCTTAAAATATATTCTTTAAAATGTGGTCCTTGAGTACATGGCTGCTAGAAGAAGAATGAAAAATTAAAAAAAATATATTTGCTTCTCTGTCTAAAGTTTAAATGCCTAATTGTGATCTTTACTAAATGCTATGAAATCAAGAAATATTCATGAAATTTTAAAAAGTAATCCCATTATGCCAGATGGAACCAGATTTTCAACTTAAGAGATTCAGAATAGGGGACATTTTTTTCTTTCCCATTCCAACTTATCAAAATTACAAAATTTCACTTGTTTAAGTATAATTAAATAACCATAAAACACTGGCAACAATTTTTTTTTCCAATTTCAGGACAACATCAGCACAGGAATTAAATAATGTTCAAAAAGTGACCTTGAACTTGACTAAATGGCCTTTGGTCAAGAACACATCTCAAGATCAAATGCTATCTTTGTATGAAGCATTAACTTCCACTATCTCTTTACTAGAAATTTATCGACCAGAGAGAAATTTTAACCATTTCCTGCCAGTGACCTTTAACTTAACTGATTTACCTTGAGAAAAGGTCAAGACACTTCTCATGTTATATGCAATCTTTGTGTCAAGTTTGAACTTCCACTGTTTTTTTATTACAAAGTTATGGTCCAGGCATGATTGCAAAGACAGATAGAAGGACAATGGTGATTTCTGTAACAACCCCCTACCCCCCTCCAACTTCATTTTTGTGCAGTATAATAAAATGAACTGAAAAATCAGATAATGAGACTCTAAAATATTTATGCCTTAACCTAAGCTTTGTATGCCTACATACCTGCTGTTGTATCCTTGTCCCTGGTTGAGAAGGATACACAGTACAACTGGTGACATTAGGGTTGACTGCTTCAGTACTGGAGACTGAGCGACCATTAGGAGGAACTGTTGAGGTTATAAATTGCTGTATTTGTTCACTGCTCAACAAAGATTTTGCCACCTGGAAAAAAGTGCAAATACAAGTGTATATATGAATATATACTTCAAATATTTACTTGTAAATTTATATTTATATCAGTGTCCAGGTACAAAAGACTGATTTATTTGTAATTTTGTACCTGTAGTAAACCGGACATAGTAGATTCCTTTAATGTGAACACTTTTAAAACTTTCGTTTATTTAATAAGTCGTCTACTACATCTAAATGTTGTATTAAAAATTGACTATACTTTTTGATGTAACTTACCCCATTTGGCACCACTCTCCCAGCTGTACGAGTGGGTCCTGTGTTATGAAATATTGTGTCATTGGCAGCTTGAATATAACGCTTTCTTGATGGCTCAGATTGTAATTTAAAAATACTATATAATTCATTTATTTAAAAAGGTACATTTTTGCAAAATCGATTGAAAAATTGGAAAAAAGTGAAAAGATATTGTTTAAAACTCATGGAAATTGGAAAAGATATACTAGTAGATTAAATGTGGATAAATAACCAGAAGAGTGGATAAAAGAGTATTCTAGAAAAAGAAAAAGATTTAAAAGGAAGATTTATATTTTGAATTAACTTACTTCTTTTTAACACCAATATATATATATATAACAAAACTGAGACCTCCTCATTTCCCCCGGAAGTGGTGGGTGTGGTCAAGATGTCCACTCCCTGCCTCTTGTAAATACTCGAGGCAACTTCCGGGTTGGAATACTGTACATCCACTCTCTTCTGAAATGACAAAATAAAAACAAAATATTTGAGCGATTCGTGTAAATTTTAAACATTACTGAAGAATGATTTTAGGCCTAGATACTTAGGCAATGAAATTACTTTTTCTCGTATATTTTTAGACCGTTTGGTTTGGACTTGATTTGACCAGCTAACTTGCAAATGCATACCAAACCTACATGTAGATATCTTACCCTAAGTCAGTAAGGTATATACAGTAAATTACCTAGCTAGCTGTTGCCAATCCAGGCCCCAGATATATACTTTTCAGTACAATTATTGAAATATTATGAGTCCATGTAAAGACTAAAAGAATACATTTTCGGTAAATTCAAGTGTTGTTTTTGAAAGATTCCAAAACAGTTAATTTTTCTTCACTAATTTTTATAGATTTAATCAATAATGATACATTGTACATGTAACGCCTAAGCTTTCATACAACTTACAATCAATCCATACTATATAGTGTGGATTGTGTGCTGAAATAGGTAACAGTTTAGACTTTTGATCTTTTTCTCAAAAAAGGAAAACATGTATATAATATATTAAAGTACGAAATCTAAATATTGACACTCTAAACCAAAGCAGAATGTTTTTTTGGACAAATGGAAAAAAAATCTGACTGTATAAATATGTAAATATCGAGCTTGTCTATTTCGCTTTCAACATGGGGTGACTGGGGAAAATTAACTGCATAAAAATACCACAGAACTAGCTCGGTGTATAGAGGGTCCTTAATGTTTAAAATTTGTTATAATTGTAACGAAAACTCTTGTATTGGAATGGTCAAAGGGGGATAACTCTAAATAGTACTCGCTGTTTATTAATCAGTTAAACCCCCTTTTTCTATACTTGATACATGTGTATATAATTATGTAGCCTACATATAAATTTAATATAGTATTGTTTAACTTGAATTCCATCTTCTTGAATGTAATTCTGCATAGGTCTGTTGATCTTTACTGTGTTCTTAATCCTACATGTATACACATGTAATTAATCCTAAAAGCGAATCTAAACAAAAACCTACTAACGGATACTCTGAGTATGTGTTTTTCATGCATGATGCTACACTTCAATCAAAACAGGGGTTTCCCAAAACAGTAATCATTTTATAATTTTATTAGCCTATAGATTAAATATCGGTTATTCTTCTGCTTCAATTTAATCATAATCTGCCATGTAAATGGACCAAACGGACTACTAGCGTGAATCTTTCGATATTAAAGAAAGGACAATCATGAATAATATTTCCTCCAAACTTATTTTTTTATTTACTAAGTTTTTAATTGTTCATAAATTTAAACTGAGACGACCAATCAAGGTTATATTCAGCTAAGCCCCATTAAAAGGTCGTTGGCCTAACATGCATAACGTTCCAGATTTTTAAAAATATGTCTCCTTGGCAATAACTTAATAACTAGGCCTATAGCCGAATATTTTCCCCATAACACAAACAAATATGACCATTACCCTCTTATAGCTCTGACTGTTCATTTCTGTAACTGTATCGACTGTATGCTATCAATTATTTCAGAAAATCTTCGCTCAGCGAAAATCACGTCTTATCTCAACAACTGATGCTGAAACAATGAGCTGTATCCAAAACACATCAAACAGCCTAGCAATCATGACGTCGTCACCAAGACAACAATCAATGAAAAACAACATACTAAAATATGACCCAAATTTTAGCCTTCGGAATTTCCTCATACCAAAGTATTGTTGACATTGTAGGGGAGGGGGGGGGTTTAAATACATGTACTTACGCATTTTCAGAGTTATAAGACTACTGTAGCAGCATCACATGATTCCATATCTACACATGCATTTCACATCACTGTCAGCAGCAAAGTTTCTTAGAAATTGCCAAACTTCACGAAATATACTTTAACTTCTGCGAATGTAATGTCCCGTTTATAATTAAGTCTGTTCGTTGTTAACTGACTACTAATTGGTCTGATCAAGAAGGATAAAAATATAGAAAACAGACACATGTATTTTGTCTGTGCTTTTTGTTTTCTACTAAGGGAAATAACTTGGTAACTTTATCAAATGAGTTATCCTTCTTAGTGAGCATATCAAAGGACCCATATCAAAGGGGATAAAATAATCAATACTTTGTGCTCTTCGTTTTGCCAAACAAAATAACTCATTTGCAGCCGTGAAGTGTGTTATAACGATGGTCGATGGGATCGGTTATCCTCTAGATTTTACAGTTTTCAGGAAATTATCTTCAGACAGGGAAATCAACACGGTGAGGTACCATTATGATATTTGTTTTTAAAAAAACACCAGCAAAAGTTCATGCCCCCACTAAATAAGTATATATAAATAATTGAAGCTATCCTAAAGGAGGATGGAAGGGCGTATATATTTTCCAGTACTATACACTACATTCAATATAACATACACGAAGAGCCAAAGAAAAAAAGAGAGCTAAGAATGCAAAATTTTATGAAATGCGTTTTACCCGCATTTACTGGCGGAAATTCTATAAAATGGTGCGGTGCAACTGCAACAAATAGAATTTCTTAAAATACAGAATATGAAAAATAAAAGAAATAAAAAGCAAATAAAATTTCAAAAATATGATTGTAACAATACAATTTTTGGGGAAGTTGGTCTCCCCCACTTTTGAAACCGTTGACCGGGGCCCCATTTTACAAAATAACTTAACGACTACGATTAAAAAGTTATTATGCAAATAACTTTCCACTTTCCATTGCTTTGAAAATGGTTTTAATCTTTTTGGAAAGACCTTAGAAAGATATTTTTATGCAAACAATTTTTAACAGAAACACAAGTTTTGTAAGATTTTACAATCAACTGAAGTTTTTAGTCTTAGTCGTAAGTTCTTTTGTAAAACAGATCCCAGGCCCGTAGCAACGATTCAAAAGTGGGTGAGGCCAACTCCTCCCCCCCCCCCCCCAAAAAAAAAGTGAAAAGCAAAATCCCGGATTTTGCCAGTGCTCGACCTTACAACATCTCAACGGGGGGGGGGGGGGGCAACCATGATCTAAAGGAAAATTTACTATAGCAAAATACTAAAAATACTATACTTAGAAAAAAGTGGAGCCCCCCCCCCCCGCGCGTTCTTTTGGCCTGCAGAAAAAAATATTGAATGCATATAACTCTCAAAAACACAAAAATAAAATTTGAAAATACATTTTAAAGCAATATGAACTGCAACTTTGAAGTCAAAATTTTTTGTGGCAAAATTAAATAACAATTTCAATGACAGAAAAAGAACATTTATAAACTTCCGTTGTTCATATTTGCGATGAAAGAACTATTTAGAAGCTTTGACTGAAGCAAAATTACATTATTGTCGTCCTGTCAGTATTTATTTACTATACATTCCATATTGTACAGAAGCCTTTTCCTTCGAGATCAATTTCGTTACTTACTGGAATGTAATGTATTGTGTAATATTCGGAAAGAATTTTTGTTACAGAAATACTATGTTCATCCAAAATGTTATAAAATTTTGTAATTTAATTACAAATACTGACCCAGCATTCTTAAGAAAATTGTGTATATTTATCACCAAAATTTTTGACACTGTCTGTCCTCCTGTAAACTCTGCTCGTCGATAATTATTGTAAATATGTACATGTATATATGTACCTCTTGTACCATTCATATGGTTTATTGAGAGAATAAATATATGAATGAATGAAAAAGACAATTATACATCAAAAGTAGAAATGTTGAAGTTCAGATAGAAAATTACTAGTGCACAATGACATGCACATGTTGAAGCTTGAATGTTAAAGCTAAGTACAAGAATTTATTTTTTTTTTTTCATTATTTATTTTTTTTAGTTTATTACACCTCATTGTCAATATTAGCCATTTCAGCTCTTCTCTATCCGTCTCCAGAGGGCGTAATTTTAGAATTAACTATAATGTATGTAAAAGTTATGTAGTTCATTAAAGATTTGCATTTAAATAAGGTTTTAAGGTGATATGTGCCGTTCCACACCAAAGAGTTATTTTCCTTGACCCCTGTTAATCATTAATGATGATTGATAGTTCTTAATGAGGTTCAAACTAGAATTAAAACGTAAACGTGTTGAGCAGACTATTTAGGTAAAAAAAAAAATAACATAATATCATAACATGATAGAAAGGATAACTTGACAAATGAATATTTCAATAAAACTTCACTGGTGTCAATCAAAATATGTCCTTTTTTACTTTCTATACACTCTCTGTTTTGGGTAAATTATTAAATAAAAATTGCAGTCCTGGGCCGATTGAATTGACATTACGATAAAAATGATTAAATACTGTGATTAAAATGCAGAAATATATAGTACAGTGCATGACAACAATTCGCAAAATATGTTAAAACAATTTTTTTGTACTCCTGCATTAAGGACACACGCAACGTAGTTTTGAACTTTATTTTTTTTATTCCCTGTATAAATTACGAGTTGCAATAATTGAAGGATCTTTGTGCAATTTAATGATGCCTGATAATGCTGTACACATTTGAATTAAACTTTAAAGAAATACGGGTTGAAACTATATTTTTGTTAATTTTTCTTTAAAAACACATTGATTTTTGATCATTTGATATCTGTTTAAAACTCCTGGGTAATGTATGCTGATCTTTTGTCTTAGAACATATGATATTACTTTATCCAAGAGAGAGAGAGAGAGAGAGAGAGAGAGAGAGAGCTTCGACTTATTTTTCTTAAATATATTTTTTATATAATTTTGCAAAAGACAGAACCTCGTTTTTTTTTAAGAAATATGAGAATACATAAAAAATACATCATTCGATACATTGTGCAGATGTACATTATTAAATAATTTCTTGGAATTTCGGTATATTATCCAGTTCAAAGACAAGGTCAGCAATTTTCTTGAGGAGTGTCAGTTTTTCACCGTTTTCGCTTCCTTGATTTTGATAGAGTTTTTTTTTCTCGTCATTTTACCTGTGATAAAACATTAGTCAGTCATCCTTTACTGTAATTCACCATTTACTATTTTCTTTGAAGAATTAAAGCTACTCTAATTGATATACTACTGATATGTACGTATAGCAATGAATTGTCGACCAGGACTGACGCACGCTGGAATTTCACGTTGATTAATTATCGTTTAAATATAAATATATTCCTTACATTTTCTGTTAAAATGATGAATATGTTTGTTTTAAAATGGCAAAAATTGTAAACAATGTAAGGCCGTCATTAAAAATATCTTTGTTTCCCCCAACCCGACCCTAAAATCTCAAGTTGGGTAGGTAGGTAGGTAGGTAAATAATTTTTTTTTTCTGACAGCAGTTTTGAAAATACCTATCTTTATAAATAAGAAAGAACAAAAGAAACGGATTTTTAAACCGAATATCATACAAATGAAGTAACATGTAGGTAAATTAAGTCACAAATATTATTTATCTGAACTTGTGAAATAACTCAGGCCAGCGTAAATTTACTGAAATCGAATATTTACAAAAAGACAAGAATCGCAAATACTCAACCATCGGACATCCGAGTATATTTTTCAAACCTACTATCATCTTCGAGTACTTACACAGACAAAATGTCAAGGGCCTCGCGTGGCGGTTTATTCCCACCTAGCCAAAATTTCAAATTTCTTATTCCCATCTAGCCAAAATTGGGATTTTCACACCTGAGTGGTCACCTGTGTATAGTCTGTTTTAGGCTTATTACCTGTAACAATTACCTGTGGTGTACAAGTTCATTATCAAAATGCATATCATAAATATTTGTTTTATTAGATATTGATTAATCAGGTTCTGCATATCAATAATTTTAAAACATAATTCATTTAATTCATTCATCAACATGGAAATAAATAATTTTTTGACAATAAACAATTGAATGTATTTGGATTATTACTTAACTAATACAATATAGAGATGAAAAGAATTGTTTAATTTATTTTGCAGAAATACTTGAACTAATTAATAACCACCTGTGTTAAAATATGAATTCGTGATTGAGATAAAGATACAATGTGGTTGTGATTGTATACTTATATGCACATGCATTTATAAGTAATTTCTTCCAAACATGCATCAGAAATAGTCTTTAAATTTATGATATATTTTTATATTTCAAAAGAATTGGACATAATTTATTGACAAGAAAAGTCGAACGGATTATAGACAATATAACTTAGATAATCTTCTCTTGTTGTAACAATTTTGTAAAATTATCATAGTATAATTTGATTTATATAGTCTGCTGGAAATACATAAGTAGTATCCAAGCTGAAATTTAATTTTTAATGTCAAAATATAACTTTATAGTTAAAGAACTCGCTGAGGATATTTTTTAAATGTACATACTCATTTTGAAAACGCTTGTGAATACTCATTAAAAATTCGGCATTTTATGCATCAGAGAAGACATCATTGATTCCCCAATAGAATCAGATGCACATGTACAGTGTATAATGAACAAATTAATGTTTGTTTTGAAAAATTATTTCTGTAGCATATTTTTCAAACAAAATAGTCTGATATAAGCAAAATTTATTTGAAGTCAGTAACTTTGAAAATGAACACTTTTGCATAAACACATGTACTATTGATATCAGTCATCTTATTTCATTCTTTTTGC